CCTAAACCCTAATCGCTAAACCCTAAACCCTAATCGCTAAACCCTAAACCCTAGGGCGGTGCCCCAGGCTGTAAACCCTACTTAAGAGTTTGCGAGTGAGCGGATTAGACCCTTTGCTTTCACGCTTCCAGACTTCAGGGTTTAAGCTCCAGAATCGAGGGTTTAGGGTTTGCGGCCCAGGGCCTAGGGTTTAGGGTTTAGGGTTTAGGGTTTAGGGTTTGCGGCGCAGGGCGCATCGTGCCAGTGCGCATCACCATGACGCTGCTGCTGCGCAAAATGCTGCTGGCGAATTTTCGGGGTTTATTTTTGATTGATGGATTTCCGAGAAATGTCGACAACTTGGCGGGCTGGCTCTCCGTAAACCCTAAACCCTAAACCCTAAACCCTAAACCCTAAGCCCTAAACCCTGGCGTGGGAAAACCCTCGTCCCCGAGTCTTTGGTGCGGAGCTCCGGCTTCCGGCCCGCTGCGTGGCTGCCTCTGTGGGCCGTTTGCTCCGGAGGCCGAAATCGAGGGTTTAGGGTTTAGGGTTTAGGGTTTAGGGTTTAGGGTTTAGGGTTTGTTTGTCAGATGACGAGCGAGGAGAACTTGCCGCGGGAAATCCTGCGGCTCTCGCGGGCCTATTCTTCGGACTTGTCTTTTGTGGAGAAGTGCCAAGAGGCTTTAAGTCGGATGGGTTACAAACCCTCAAAAGGGGATTTAGACGAGGGTTTGGAAGCAGCAGCAGCAGCAGCAGCAGCAGCAGCAGCAGGAGCAGCAGCAGCAGGAGCAGCAGCAGCAGCGGCTGCTGCAGGAGCGCCTGCCGCTGCGGACCTCGAGGAGCTGACCTTGGAGCTGCGGCGGCGCTGCGGCAGCAGCAGCAGCAGCAGCAACGGCAGCAGCAGCAGCAGCAGCAGCAGCAGCAGCAGCAGCGGGAGCTGCGTGAAGCCGCTGCTGCTGCTGTTTTTCGAGTGTCCGGAAGCAGAGCTGCTGCGGCGGATTCTGGAGAGGGGAAAGACAAGTGGAAGGGCCGATGACAACGAGGTGTCTGTACAGAAAAGATTAAAAACTTTCCAAAAAGACACTTTGCCAATTGCTGCTGCTTTTCGTGCTGCTGGCTGCTGCCGGCTGCTGCAGGCGGGGCGGCCCATAGCGGAGGTGTGGGGCGAGCTGCAGCAGCTCTTCGAGCCCTACAGGGCGCTGCAGCAGCGCGCCCTCGCCGCGGCCCGCGCAGACAAACCCTAATTTAGGGTTTGCAGCCCACAGGGCCCGCGCGCCGACAAACCCTAATTTAGGGTTTGCAGCCCCGGGGGCCCGCGCGCCGCCAAACCCTAATTTAGGGTTTGCAGCCCACAGGGACCCGCGCGCCGCCAAACCCTAATTTAGGGTTTGCAGCCCCGGGGGCCCGCGCGCCGCCAAACCCTAATTTAGGGTTTGCAGCCCACAGGGCCCCGCGCCCCCACGCAAGGTTCGGAGCCCCAACGCGCGGCGCCGCCCGCCGCCGCACTCGCAGCAACGCGCAAACCCTAAATTAGGGTTTCACACGCGACACGTCACGCGCAGCGGAGGCGGCCCGCAGGCCCCGGCTCCAGACCCGCAGCTGCTGTAAACCCTATATTAGGGTTTGCACCGCCCCAGCCTTGCACAGACACAGACACCAGCGAGCACGCCGCGCCGCCGCTCCCGTCAAACCCTTTTTTAGGGTTTGGAGGCTCGAGCCTTAAAGGGCGTGCTGGAAGCTGGGCAATGCCCGCTGCAGGCGCCAAACACTAAAATAGGGTTTAGGCGGAGGGGTGGTGGCCTGCGGCGTGTGTGTGCCGCCGCTTCGAGACAATAATGATTCACTGACTCTATAATTGTTAATAATTAACATTTATTGCAATTTAAAAACTTATTTGAACACAAATGAGGTGGCTTTGGGGGTAACTGAAGGCGCCGGGCGCAAGAAACGCTGGGGTGTACGTACACCTGGGGAACGGTGGAGGGGTGAGGCAGAGAGGGGTTGCGGCTCTAAGTGATGTTCATTTCTTTTGTTTATAATTTTCAAATGATTTCATTTATTATTTTAAACTCAATTATTCCTTTAATTCAGCGCGTCCTGTCTGCCTTCGCGGCAGAGCCACGGGGTGTACAGACAGCATCGAAACGGCGGCCGGCGGTTGGCCGCGCGCGGCAGCCCACACAAGAGTTTGTCTTTAATTTAATTAGCATTTAAATAACTAAATGTAATTAAAATATATATTTCTTGTTAATTTTTGTCCGTTTACCAGTTGTTGGACATGATCTGCCGAAGATTGTTGCTGCAGCAGCAACTGCCGGGGGCCCCCGCGCTGTCGGCGGCGGGCTCGAGAGTCCTCGCGTTAGAAAGCCAGCAAATCTGCATTATTAAATCAAAAATAATAAATAAATATTAATTAAAAAAGCATTAAAGACTTCATGTAGAGACTCAGGCCAGCCACGAGCCTTAATGGACGAGCAGCAGCTGCCTCAGCCTGCCTTAGGGGCCCCCCCCACCCTTTCAACTTCCCCTCAATCGGGGGCCCCCCAGGGGGCCCCCCTATCCGTCCCCCGCTCCGTGTTTCCTGGGGCCCCCCCGCACTTGGCTGACCCCGGGGGCCCCCCCCGGGGCCCCCCCGCCGTGGGGCCCCCTAGGGGCCCCCCCTTCAGGGGCCCCCCAGGAGGGGCCCCTAGGGGCCACCACAGCAGAGGCCCCCCTGGGGGCCTCCCCGGGGGCCCCCACGAGGGCGCCCCTGGGGTCCCCCAGCGGGGCGGCGGCGCCCGGGGGCCCCCCGGGGGGCCCCCCGGAAGGTCCCCAGGGGGGCGCCCAGGGGGGCCCCCCGGGGGGCCCCCCGGGAGGCTCCCAGGGGGGCCCCCAGGGGGGCCCCCAGGGGCGGCCCCCCGGGGGGCCCCGTGTTGCAGGCAGAACTGAGTTACGGGCAAGCTGCTGTGCTGCGGAGAGCTGTGGGGGCGCTGCGAAGCACCGGAGTGGAGCTGCGGGTTGCTGCCTTTGCTGCTGCGCTGCACTTGGATGCAGCAAGTCAGTCGCAGACGGCGTGGCTGCACTTGGCCTTCTGCAGCAGCTTTTTCAGGGGGTTTTTGCTGCAGCAGCAGCAGCAGCAGCAGCAGCAGCAGCAGCAGCAGCAGCGGTGTGGGGGGGGGGAGCACGGGGAGGGCGCTGGGCCTGCGCTCTGCGTGACGCTGCCCATTAAACACCTCTGGAAAGCGCTCACCAAGGTCGCAAACCCTAAACCCTAAACCCTAAACCCTAAACCCTAAACCCTAAAGCGTCGCTCCCGCGGCGCACGGCGCTGCACTTGTGGGGTAGCAGCAGCCCTTCCTTTGTCTCGGCGTAGGGTTTGTTGCTATTAGGGTTTAGGGTTTGTCCTTGTTGTTTGGGGCCTGCCATTGGTAGGGTTTAGGGTTTAGGGTTTGCGCTTTCTAGGGTTTAGGGTTTGCGCGATTAGGGTTTAGGGCCTGTGGGGGGCTCGTCGCGGCTGCTGCGGCCCTCGCGGATTTATTTGCTGCTGACAGCAGCAACTTTAAAACTCGATGTTGAATTTGACCACTTTGGCCTCCATTCTTCTGCTGCGCTTCCTGTTGCAGTAAGCTTGCTGCTGCTGCTGCTGCTGCTGCTGCTGCTGCTGCTGCTGCTGCTGTTGGCGCTGCCCTCACGTTGCTGCCGCTGCTGCTGTCAACGCACGTTGCTGCTCTTTTCTGCGGCAGCAGCAGCAACGCAGCAGCAACGCCTGACGTTCTCGCCTCTTCTCACTCCTCTGCGTGCGACCTGCTGCTGCTGTTGCTGCTGCTGCTGCTGCTGCTGCTGCTGCTGCTGCTGCTGCTGCTGCAGCCGGCAGCCTGGGGCTTCCCCTGCCGCATGCGCTGGCGGCGGCGGCATTCTCTTTGTGTTTCTTCGCGAGTGCTTTTGAGGAGCCTCGAGGACTTTCTGCTGCCTTTCGAGGACCTCAAACTAAGCAGCAGCAGCAGCAGCAGCAGCAGCAGCAGCAGCAGCAGCAGCGGCAGCAGCAGCAGCAGCAGCAAGCAGGCACACGTGATTGTGCGCCCGAGGGTTTAGGTTTTGGGTTTAGGGGCTGGGAGGGTTCAGGGTTTGGGGGTTAGGAGGGTTGAGGCTTTTGTGGGGCTGAGGGTTTAGGGTTTAGTTAGGGTTTAGGGTTTAGGGTTTTGCAGGGATTAGGGTTTAGGGGGTGAAGGCTGGAAGGAACAGCTGAGGCGATTGCTGCTGCACCTGCTGCACCTGCAGCCTCGACACCAGCAGCGTCACGTGCTGCTGCTGTTGCTGCTGCTGCTGCTGCTGCTGCTGCTGCTGCTGCAGCTGACGGGGTGCTCTCGGGAGGGCGAAGAGGCTGCTGGGGACTCTGCGGGTTTTGGCAGCGAAGTGTCTCTACACGAAAACGTCTTTGACGCCCTTGTTTTTGGTCGCAAACCCTAAACCCTAAACCCTAAACCCTAAACCCTTTCTGCACCCTAACCCGTCTCTAAACCCTAAACCCTGAAGGCTCTCTGCTGCCTCCAAGGATGGGCTTTGGATTTGTGCTTTTGAGGGTTTGAGCCTTTACACTTTTAGGCCACGGGTCTGGGGCTTGGAATGCAGGGTTTAGGTGCTAGGGTTTAGGGTTTAGGGTTGAGGGTTTAGGGTTTAGGGTTTAGGGTTTGTCTTCAGACCCTAGGCTGCCAGCTTCGGGTGACTTGACTTTTGGAGGGCGAGAGCTGCGGGCAACAGCAGCGCTTTGTGGTTCGTCCCCTGACCCACCGAGGGTTTAGGGTCTAGGGTTTAGGGTTTAGGGCCTAGGGTTTAGGGTTTAGGGCTTAGGGTTTAGGGTTTAAGGCTTAGGGTTTTGGACGAAGCATGTGCGCTTCAGTTGCTAGGAATCGGCATTTGGGGTTTAGGGCTCAGGGGTCGTGGTTTAGGGTTTAGGGTTTAATGTGTAGGGTTTGGGGTTTAGGGTTTATGGTTTAGGGTTTAGGGTTTAGGGTCTAGGGTTTGGGGTTTGCAGACTTTCTGGG